AGATAAAGGTACGAAACGTGTAAAGGGGAGGAGAAAATGAAATGTTTTTTTCTGCTTTCAATATGATTTTTACAAAAGTATGTAGTCCTACACTTGGATTATGGAGGCTTAATAACGGTATTTGTACTGGGAATACGTTCATGTACCAATACAGTATTTTATATGCGCCTAATATGACGTATTAGCCTCATATGAAGTTGGCACCTTCCTGAGATGAGTTTAATAAATACTGTGCCCGTCATCTTCCCATTCTCGGTTTTTCATGAATTAAATGCAGTTAAAATTTGAAATTCAGGTGAGATTTGAGGTTCTAGCGGTTGCAGTGTCATGTAGTCTAGTAGATGTTTAACAAGGTTTTAGAGGTCCTTGCAGCCTACGTCATCATCGCCCGTATTGTTAGGTGTTGTAACCTAACGTAACCCAACCCAATGTAACCTAACCTAACCTAACCCAACCTAGCCTAGCCTGACGTAACCTAACCTAACAGCGATTTTTCTATTCTCCGCCATGGCCAAAACTTCTCCATTGTCTGCCCAATGAGGACCGCGATTTTCTCCCCGTTGGTAAACTAGCCTAGATTTATAATGTGTCAGGTTAACCACCGTGTCTCTTTAACAAATTCTTGGCCTGGTTCTTTAGTGCCGGTGTAGTTTTTACTTTTTCATCCTAGGTCCCAATGTTCTTCGTGCTCTGAGAGACGAACAACCCACCTTAACATTGTTTGCCGCAGATGAACGGCGATGCTGAGTGGGAGTACGAGGAGATTGTTCTGGAAAGAGGCGGTGCAGGGCTGGGGTTCAGTATCGCCGGCGGCACAGACAATCCGCACATCGGCGATGATACGGCCATCTTTATCACAAAGCTAATCCCAGGCGGTGCGGCGGCGGCTGACGGAAGGCTTCGCGTTAATGACACCATTTTGCAGGTCAATGATGTGACCTTGGTGGAAGTCCCACACGCTGCTGCAGTCGATGCGCTGAAGAGGGCCGGCAATGAAGTCAGACTGGTGAGTATTATTCCAAGTTAAACGTGTGGGAATGTTGGAAATTTGTTTATGCCTTACCTCGGAAAAATAACGTAGCAAGCCTCAGCAGGAGCGAAAAATGTAGTGTCAGACGACGATACGTGCGGTCGCAAGGTCAAGCTGCTAGGAACATCGCGACAGAACAAAACTCGAAGTAAAACAACTGTCATCACCCCTGATTTATTAATTTTGTTGTATTGTTTCTCCTCTCATGAACGCCACACTTTGCGTTCACGTGGGCCTACTGTTTAAAAGCAGAATAAATACTCTTTCGTAAACTGCATGTATCCCTGAAGCGATCGGAGGTTTACAGAGTTGCACCTGTTTAAGTCTGTGTGTATGGAGTGTCCACATTAATGTTTTTATATTTGAAATTGTAACTTCAGTCATACACTACAAGTTTATGACTTCTTGCATTTCATTAACTTAACAGTCATTATCTGCAGCATAGTCTAAAAATGTTAAGCATGTCTCTGGTAGAAACAACTTTTCCAGAATGGGATTACCAGTTTTTTCTTCGTTTCGAAATACGGGACATTCTTACACGCAGTCTGCAGAGGTATCAAGCAGTGGAAATGATGTGAGTTGTGTGTGACGACTGTGAACATGTAATATTGTGGCCTTGTAGGTCATGGTGTAGTGTAATCTTGACATTACGCAAGATTATGGTAACTACGGTATGTAACAGACGTGATACCTAAACATCTACGTGAGTCCAAAGTCAAGTAAAACTTCGTGGTAGGATTCACACCAATACAACTAGCAGAAGGCGACACGCGGTAGATGGTGCTTAAAGTTCCCCCCAAACATTGGAAAGCTCAAGTTGTACAAGGAAGCATTCATTTCGTGCACGAATGTGCAGCTCGTATATCGCGTGTCAGCTATCGATTGTTACCTGTTGGTAGTTGCTTAGGTGTGAATCCTGCTAAATGCAGTCCATAACCCCAGTCAATCACACTGCTAAGTGTCGATGTGATTGATGCAGGGGCGGATATGCGTCATGTGTAAGGTCGCAATTTAAATTATGCGTACTTTAGTAGCAAGTCCTCTTAAACTGTGCCAACAGAAAACTCAATCTGCCACGCACTGCGCTTTAAAATGCACGGATTGAGTTATTTCGACACAAATAGCATTGCAGGTTATGTTTCATTGTCGCTACAGTTAATTTAACCATGTTTCACACTGTTTTCTGTTTATGAAATTTAAATTGTTCGCTTTCCATGCGTCATTTGAAGTGATTGCATGAACAGGAACGTGTTATGTGGAATTAACAAACGAATTCTGCTGCAGTACGTCCGAAGACGCCGCACTCCTGGGAACATGCGCTTGCTTGAGATTGAGCTGCTGAAAGGCACGAAGGGCCTTGGGTTCAGCATTGCTGGTGGAATAGGCAACCAGCATATCCCGGGTGACAATGGCATCTATGTGACGAAGATCATGGATGGCGGCGCGGCGCAGATCGACGGCCGTCTCCAGGTCGGAGACAAGCTGGTCGCAGTCCGCAACACGCCGGTGAGTGAGAGAAAGGTTTTCTCTGGTAGAGTTTAATGTATCACTTCGGTTTTCAGGAATTTCCCGCATCGTTGCAGTTCTCGTCTTCAGGTAGAATGTCTTTGTGTTTGGGGGGCGGGGGGCACGGACGATATTAGAAGGATATGGTAATAGACGGTGAGTGACAGGTGAAATGCATCATGATTGGACAATGAAGGAGCACGGTGCTTTGTATAATCCATCTGGATTTACAGCTGTAGTGATTTACAAATGACTGGTATCTGTCTACTCCGAATATAATAGCCAATGTCCGTCACGCTTGATTGAAAGAGTGGTACAATAAATTGTGTTACTGCCCAACACAAAAAACTTCATTCCCATAAACTTTTAAGGTTCATCCTCCGTCTTTTGTGCATTGTTGGACAGATTGGGTGTTTGATGGCGTCGAAGTGGTTGTTTGCAAGTCTTTGTTAGTTACCTCGTAATTGTAGCCACATTCTTTATGCTACCTTGAACTCACTGCACTAATATCTGTGCAACACTTACGACCGGTTCTGAAAGCAGGCCATTGTGTGGTGTAGTATGACTAAATATATACGCAGAGTGCCCCAAAAAGATGTATAAACACAACCATTACACACGTTACCATTGTGTATACATCTTTTTGGGACACCCAGTATATGTTATTTGTAATTTTTTCACATTGCTTTCGACTCAGACTGCATAACGTCGAATAACAACATAATTAATGAATTGGAAAACGTGGAAGGAAGTGCTCGTGGCCAAATTTAACTTACTGCCCAGGCAATTTGCCTGCAGGGAACGAGACTTGAACCCGGAACATCCGTAATTCGAATCAGTAGTGTGAACCGATCGGCCGTGATGTTTGGTGACCTTTAGATTACAAATTTAGTATTTTTAATTTAATTTCATGGCAGTTAATAAAAAGTATTTGACACATTACTGAGTAATGCATAAATAAATAGACTTCGTCGGATTAATGGCGTCTGTAAGGAGCTACTTGATGGCACCAGCCGAGAAATGCGCCTGTTGTACACATTCCACGTTGTCTCCGTGGATGACATTTTTTTAATAATTCTGCTACTGACAGATTTTTTCTTTTGCTTTCTATTGTAATTGACGTGAAGTCGGAGACTTTTCAGATATTAGTGTCACCTGTCTGTTGGTCCTGTAATTGTCTGCTTTTGTTTGTTTGATGATATTATTTTGTTTGTGTCTTTCTCACTCGCTGTATGGGCACTGTTCCGACTGCATAAGTAAGATTTAGTTACACAAGGTTTATTTAATTTCAAAATGAAAATTGTCCGTCTCTGAAACATCGTCTGAAGATTTAACTTTCGTTGACAAGAGTGAGATCATATTGTCGGCAAAGAGATATTGTCAGATAAATGTCGCTTGAGATGGCTGTTTACATTTTCTGCATTTTCGTAAGTAAGGGGTTCATAGAATGATAAAAAGCTGGGAATAAAATAGAAAAGAGAAGGGTGGACTAGAACAATAGAGTAGCTGAGACATCGAGAACTTATACGCCAAACATCGCAAGGCCAGTTATATGCAGTATAAATGCGTAATAAAATTAATTAGTTCCTGAACTGCAGAGCATGGTTTTTATGTAATGTGCTTGTCAGTATTGTGGTACAGCATTGGAGGATGATGCAGTTAGAATAATAAATAGTAACTGGGAACATGAGAAGATGGTTATGAGAACTTTGTACAAGATACGCCAGGCCTTGGAACATGTTTATAATGTTGCTATGCTGTGCTGTAAGTGGGTTGGGTTCTGCATAATTTTAGACGTGAGCCAGTATACTGATACCAGTAAAACCTCAAACTTCTCTGTAGCTAAGACCACAATATAACAAAGAAAACCCTGGATCCCGGCGAGATACATCACAGAGACACAGGATGCTTATATAGACTTTGGTCCCTATAAAGGACTTCATATAAGCTCGCACATGTGAATGCCTTGGATTACTATATAGTTTCACTGCAATTAATGTTGGTATAAAAGAAACAGGATGGTTCCAGATGAACTGAATACGATGGTGCATATATATAGTACATTTCTTTTAGTGCACACCTGCTTTTTTATCTAAATTCGTATTTAACTGATATTAATTGTGAAGTTGTTTGGTAGGTAAACGTGTAACGAACACGCACATTACTTTTACACAAAGCGAAATAAATCTCAGTTTCAGATTACGTGTAGAACAAATTGACAGACTCCTATTTGGAATTAATTCGGTGTTCACTGTACATCTACAGTCACCGTACATATCAACTTGTAAACCGAGCTGTTTTGGAATGCACCTTAAATACCCACTACAGTAGCATACTGTTTTAGTGCTAGGATATCAAACGCTACCTGGTTTTTGTAATAATTTTCACAGCATGAGAAATGGCACCCTTCCTTACTTACCATCAGTCTTCTGAGTATACAGTATTACATTTATTCTGAAAATATAACCACCAAAGATAATTTTTGTTAGCCCCAAAATATTGGTACTGCAGCAAAACGTCCGAATTGTATTCAGGAGGTGCGTCAACTCTTCTGTTGTCTCTACTGAGGAGGATTTCGTAATTCCATTACTCCACGTGAATGCTGGTCGCTCCATTGAAGTAGACCATGACAGCTTCCAGCCCGGCCGTTTTAGTTAACTGCGTAAGATCATTCTTTCGCTAAATTCAGCGTTGCGTAATGTCACTTGTTTTTCTAGTGTCTTTGAGTAAAGTACAGATCGATTAAAAGCGAAATGGAGGAATAGAATTGAGGTAGCTGTTGAATTATAAAACAGAATATGAATTGAATTTGGCGTTGAGGAAATTCAAGTGTCGTTAGTTTATTGGGTTATTTTACGAAGCTGTAAAGTTCCTTAGAAATTCTGTATTCACGAATGAAATACGAGAAGACTGTTGAATCTATAGGAATCGGTCGTGTCTGTCTCGTTTGGGAAATCCAGAAAGGCCTGTGCCACGATAATCCGTTCTCGAACGGAATTTCAACCGGCTACCTTGGTGAAACGTGGCCGCTGTGCGAACCTTTCGGTAGTTTCAGTCCAAATTTGACGTTGTTGGAATGTCACCTAGTGATAAGCTCATCTCCGGCTTGCAAGATATCGGCCTTCCGTTTCCATCTTTCTTTTCACACGTTCCGTTGGCTTGCCTGGCGTCAAAGTTTGCGAGTGGGGGGTAGGGAAACGAAGAAATGACTGGATTTAGGACGCACGGTTTTAGTTTCCAAGAGAACGGAAGGGAGAGGTTTAGCAGCATATTTCAGTTCGTTTGAAATTTAAGTAACATCAGTGTAGTAGGCAGATTACATGCGCTCTCTCTCACAGATAGGGGGATCAAATAGCAGACGGCGCTGGGAATTGGGATTACACTTGCGTTAACTTGTTTTCCCCCCCCCCCCCACCCCAACAATCTTACAGCCCAATTTATTCTTCTGTCGTGATCTTTCCTTTTCACCGAGGTTTTATCTCTTGTCTTCTTTTTTTACCATTTGTTCAATCATAATGGTGTGCGAGAATTCATTGCGAACTTTAATGCAAGCATTTATGCAAAATTTAGCCTACCGTTGCAAAGTACAAAGAAAATTAGAAAGAAACAGAACTGAGAAAATGGGCTGTAGCCTTGTGTGTATCTTTCTCGTGTCGAAAGTTGGAATATCAAAATTCCTTTTGTAGTATTTGAGGTTTTCACGGCAGTGAGTTTGAAGATGGCTGTCTTCTGGGTTGTTGTGCCGTGTCATCACCCTGATGATAGAGACAGCAAAGACCTCTGAAACGTCGGTAAACTTCTACCAGACTACACGTTTTTAACCCAGAAGACAGAACTCTTCTGTGATGATTTTCGTCGAATGAGTGGAGTGTCTTGCTACTTTAAAATGGAAGGGAGATATTAAAGCATTCATCAGAAAATGAAAAAAAAAATAATAATAGAAAAGCAGAAAGTCGCTCAAGAAACAATTTCAAAGTCATTCAGATTTGTCGGTTCGTAGACAGAATTGAAGAACACAATCATCGGCAGTGTTAAGGGCGCGTAAGCCAAAATGAAAATTGCGTCTCAATCCGCAGAAGCAGTTATGGAGTTCGCTGTGAGTTATGGCGTAATAACACATGGCGATATAGTTCCTGAAGCTGAAACGGATAGTCAGAGCACCACGTCTCGTGATGAAGTAGGTGTCTCATAGCAACCAGCGCCTTGATCAGCTACCCCTCCCCTCCCAAGACTTGTGGATTCATGAACAAGTTAGGAAATGTACGTGTACCATAACAGTTCTGACGCGTTCGTCAGAAAGAATTTTGATGCTTGCGAATGAAATTTAATTAAAGTCCGTTCAGCTCTTCTCGAGTTATATTAGGACAGATGGACAGGTAAAAGCTTATAGGCATATTTTAGCAACCTTTAGCTCCCCTAGAGGGAAGTGCCGTGATGTTTTTTTTAAAGTTTTGTTGTGAAAGAGGTTAAGTGTTAAAACACTTTTGAATGTAAACAGTCTCTCGTATCATCTTGATTATGGTTGTCAGAATTGTTATTGACGAGCGCAGTGTCAACGTAAATGAACATCTATATCAATTAGGGTTTTCAAATGACAAAGGATTATTTTGAAGACAACTCAAATTTGAAAACGCCTTTCCTCCGTTGTTACGCAACACTTTTGACTAAACAATAAAACTTTTCCCTTGAACTTGTGGAAGTTACGAAGAATATACTTGAATATTAGGCTGTTTGCTTTGCAGGTCGGAGAAAAGAACTTAGAAAATGTCACACACGAGGAAGCAGTAGCGACGCTGAAGGCCACGCAAGAGCGAGTTGTGCTGCTTGTGGCAAAACCTGAAACAGCTTACATGCCACCTCCGCCAGATGTCTCGAGTACACCGCCGCCGCCTCGTAAGTTAATTCTTCATTCATTCACCTTAATTAGTAGCGAATTATATAAACATTCTGTTACTAGTCTTGACATATGTGAGCCACCTGTTGATGTGTTTTGTCTCTATTGCAATCGTCGTAAACAGTGTTTAAATTACGATACATAAGTTAAGATTTTTTTAGAATTGCACACATTGGTTTTGAGTAGTAACATCTTGAGGTACGTTCATCGTTATCCTAAGCCTCCCTGTCCCAGACATAACTGAGAACACTTCACCCAGAAGAAAAATCATTTGTCGCTGTTGAGTCATCAGCTTGTGATTGTCATTTTGATATTGATTGAATTTTAAACTTGAATTGTGACACTTTAACCACCACGTCTTATAAGGCCACTGTATCGTAATACAAGTATACCAGTTCTTTTAAATTTCATTAAAATCATTCCATTTTACTGCATTAGGCGCAGAAAATGGCTAAATTTTAAGCTATGTGGGCAAGGTTGATATAGTGGATAAAACAGCGCTGGTCGCGTAACGTTTTACAGTTGCTTTAACTGCTTTTCAGCCCCGTTGGCAACACCAGTGCCGTATTCAGACTCGCTGAATGCGTCTATGGCTCTGCAGGCCTCGACACCGCGAGCTGTCAGTGAAGAAGACATTTCTCGGTAAGTCTAAATCCACGCAGTGTTACGGACAGTGATTTGTTATTAGTGGATTGAATACTGGTTGCTTCTTTCAAGAAGGGATGTTTGGTAATGCCGATTTTTCGTTAAATTGCGCGATTGTTTTTTACGGTTCCACTGATACAGGCAAATCTCGGTTTACGAACGAGTTCCCGTTCAAAGATGTTGTTCGTTATTTGTATCTTGCATTCCTGAGCTTTTACGACACGTATCGTATACGTTAACAGCCATTTTAAAGCACTAAAACCATGTACTAAACATCGAATTGTCTATACAATACGTTTTATTATAATGTATATAATAAATATATTTTTAAAAGTTTATTTATTTAAATCTTACAATCATGTTCACCAAACGTTTGGCATTTAGTTTTATAAGGCACTCTATCTATTGGTGACTTAAAGAAATCGTAAATCGAACGTTCGTAAACCGAGAGTTGCCTGTACGTCCTTAGAACGTAATTTTCATTAGGAACGCCATTAAACAGATTACTACTATGAACTGAACGCCTGAAATGATATAAGATTCGTAAATATAATAAAGAATCTAAAGACCATTAGTGGACAGTTAGGGTTTTAGCAGGCAACGTCCATTAGAACTGAAAATGTCTTCTAATGCTTCGTATCCGGAAAGAAAATTGGCGATACCAGATGGTATCCGTCAAATCTGAAATGTGTTAAATTGAAAGATAGTTTTTGTGATTTACGTAGTTTTGATTCAGAAGCTGCATGTTTCTTCCAACTTCAGGGTTTCTGAAAGGATTGTTTTATGAAGGAATGTTAAACTGTTCAGTGCGTACTCGTGTTCCGACTTATCTACACCCCCATTATATATTGATTGAAAACTTATGCGTAGTAATTACACTGCCGATAATGCACTCATTGGGAAGAAGTTGTGTATATTGACTGGGCCATTAGTACGCTGCCACCACCACCACCACCACCACCACCACCACATGGCTGAGGATCGAACTAATGACGTACAAGCTGTCCATTCAGTTCGGTAAAAGGTGGTTTGGGTTTTAAGTAAAAATGAATAAATTGTGGTAAAAGACTGCTGCGTGGCACAGGTGGCCAATGGGAGGCAACTAATTCTTCCTCTACATCGAAAGTTAGTACTTCATTGTAGTCCTTGTGACTTCAGTTTTGTCTGTACACAAAGGTTTTCGTAGTTATTTCTTGAAAAGGATAAAACTCAAGAACTTAACACGAGCAGTCGAGAACGAGTGGTAAAATTACCGAATAGACAAAGAATGAGACGTTTGGCGATCTCCCAATGCGATTTCCTGTTTGGTCCGTCCATTACCGAGTCAGGAATGTTCAAATACCGTTTTCGCGAAACAGGAAATCCCGACTCCTCGGTTGCCTTGCCATTCCGTAATTTAAGCACAAGGCTCTTCGTGCAGACGGTCGTAAATCGCCCGAATTGGAATCCGATTGAAGGCAGTTCTGTTGCCTCCAGCAAACGTGACGTTACGTCCCAGCGTGTCATCAGCTTCCAATGCTCGTGACCTGTCCGGGCAACCTGCTTACGTACCCTGGAACTTTCTTCTCTCCTCCTTCGAATTAATCTCCGTTCTGCTTTGTGTTACTGTTTTCTTCAGGTATTTTATACGTTTTCGGGCATCTTCGTGGTTTGTTTATTCGTTCACTTAATGATGCTCGCAACTGCAAAGGAGCGGTGATCCGGATAGGATGGAAAAACGATTCTGATCTATTTGAAAGTACTATCTCCGAATTTACTGCTAGGAAGTTAGTAGTCTTTCTGCCGAGTTCGATCAAAGGCTTTCCGAACATTAGGTACGAATGCTAATATTTGCATCGTGACGTATGATTTGGTAGTTAAAACAAAGGGAAATGGATCGAATACTTGGTGAGCCAGTAATTTATTCTCTTTTTATTGAATTATGAAGAATGAGATGGTCAGAACCTGTGTCACACCAAGGCGTAGACGAGAAGGGAAATAAAGTCGGCCGTTGGGAAGTGGATTCAATTGACTCAGAATAGGCTCTGAAGGCAGAGATCGACGTAACTTTAACAACAGGAGAGTTAGTCTGTGAGCTTAATGACTGTGAACTTTTGAAGCGTGATCTTGTACTATGAATTTATTTAGGGCTTAGGGTAGGGGATACTTGTGCGTGGGCCCTCTTGAATTGTTGCTCCGCGAAACAATTGAATGGCAGTTAATAGCTGTTTCACCTACTGACGTTTCAAAAAGTCTTTGGTGGTTTATTAAATTTTAACGTCCTGTTGTGGAGAGTACAGTGAAGTGTATTATTGACCGTCTCTTCTACAAGAAATTTTACCTGTGTTTTGATGTATCACATAATTATATTTCATAGACTGGGGAATTTACTGCTGTAAAACGATATTTTTCTTAGACGCTGCGTCGCCGTGTCCTAGGCAGCTGTCATGTTGCCTACCTCTCGTCAATGGCTTTGGTGAATACCACTGGATTCTCAAATAAAATATTGTAAAGTAGAATAGATAGGCTATATCTGAAGCTTTGTTTTAAAGTTAAATGGTGGATTGATATTGACAGGGAAAACCTGCCCCAAATCCCACATGGTCTGACCCGGGAGCGAACCCGGGTCTGCTTTGTGAGGGGACCGGGCCGTTCATTTTTACAGTGTAGTCTGTGTTAATTTATTTTTCGGTACGGTATTTTTCTTTTGTTTAATTTGAATATTCTGTCGCTTTTTTGTGTCCAGAACAAATTTAAATTTGCCGCGAAGAAACCTAGACCGCCTACTACTGTTGCATCAAGTTTTCTTGCTCTGAAACAACCAATAATACTTGTTTAAGATGTTCTGGGAAGTTCATTTGCATTCTTACCTACGCAGTCTTCTTCTTTTGCCTTTCTCATTAACATCCAACCGTTAAGGGTGAGTAGTCCTCTTTGTCACAGTCTCTACGCTGTTAGTTTCGATTTCACCGGCGCATCTTGACGTCTCTAGTCGGGGATAATTATTTCAGGGTTGAGTGAGTTCCTTAATTGCGCTGAGGTCAACGTCAGCACATAATTGCTTTTACGCCCAGTGTTTTCGGCATCGGTACGGGTCCTTACAAGTGCAACTCTTGTATAAACAATCTCTGGGAAATAATTGAAACTCGGAAGGAACAGCAGACGTTGTTCATACAAACGAGGAAAACATTGATGAAATTCCAGCGTCGTAGAGAAGGCTTAATAAACTCTACGAGAAGTAGTTTTCATGGAATGTTCCAGCTACGCTTTCCTTTGTATGCTATAAGTTTACCTTGCGGTTATTCGTTCATGATGTTTCTGTAGTCGCTCGATAGATGTCGGTGTTGAAGCGACAATCGTGCATCGTAGCGTGAAAGTTGTGAACTATCTTGTAAAGGCATGTCGTAAGTACCAGGAAATTAAAATATATTCAATTTGATAGGAAGCCCTCCCAGACAGTTTTGTCGCCTTTCAGAAAGGTGAATACCCCCTAATTGTTTCGCTAAGTACGTTTCGTAATTTCTTCTGTGTTGTAATGCTCAAGTCATGTCAGAACCTTACGTCAAATTATGAAACGACTAGCACTACTGCAGTTAAAATTTCATCCGAAATTGTCTTGTTCAGTTGCCATTGTACTTTACCATCCGTGTACGGTTTAATTTTTGTGATGGGTTCGCAGCCAATGGAAATATTTTGAACCGTCCTCATCACTGTACCAACATTTACGTGAAGGGACTGAAGAAAGCCACAGTCAGAGTTCCAGCATTTACTTGGAGGGACTGAGGAAAGCCACAGTTAAGAGTTTCGAGAAATGGACCCGGGACCTTAACGAAGCGTGTTTTGTAGAAGTCAGTAAAAAAAAAAGGACGTGCTCTTTGTTACTTGATTTTCCAAAACAGTCCTAGAATTAAAACCCCAGACTGTACCTCCCCCCCCCCCCCCCTTCCTTTGTGCTACGCGATTGGTAGTCTACGCATTGTCTCACAGTGAGTCAGTACAAGCAGCGCGCTCTGGCGATGGGTCGCCGTATCACGTAATTATGAATCATTTAATGACCACGCCTTTCAATGGTGCTGAGGTGATTGAGGGTCAGAGGGTTCGTCCATTAGTGGAAGTTTTTTGGTGACAGGAGGAAGCGAGTCTTTGCGTGTGGGTGTACTGATTGAAAGTGAGTAGTAGCTTGTTATTTAATAGCATTTGACCTTCGCGGACTCACTCGGTTATTGTGTCATTCACATTAGTGAAGTTGCTTAAGCGCAAGGCTCTTTAAAACTAAAAGTTGATGGGACTTACGTGAACTGTTTCAAGTTATTTTCAGGGCTATTTCAAATTTTGAGTATAAACCGCTTAAAATTTGTACTTGATTTGGACTTGAAAAGTGTGAACTATTACTTGACTGTCCTGTTTACTTACTGATACTCGTGACAGCAGTTTTTTTTTCTGCTGGTATTATTGAGGTATTATTGCTGTAATTTGTTTTGTTAACAAAATTTATTATCGTAAACGTTTACAAAATGAGTGATAAGTAGAGCTGTAATTTTGTTTGCACATTTTTAAAGTGTACGAAACGCACAAAATGTAAGAGAACATTGTAATCGATAAGAACATTGTAATCGATAAGTACATTGTAATCGATAAGTACACTATCGCAGCAGAAATACGATGGAATGAAAACGTTACTTGTGGATATCGACACTGAAGAGGTGACTGCCGATTGTGTTGGAAGGAAAATTAAGACGATGAAAACATCGTTCAGCCAGGAAGTGAACAATATTATAAAGTCGAACAAGAGCGGTCATTTGTACAATCCAAAACTAATGTGGTTTGACGGCCTCAGGTGATTGTTACGCTCTTCTCTGTATTCTGAGGCTGACTCCCTCGTATGTGTAGGCATATCACATAGACGTACCAAACTTCCGGAAACAGATATTTTTCTTCTTTCTCCAATAAAGTTGATATTTCTGCGAATAGGAACGCAACAGCCACACGAACACGAGCATTACTTCTGTTATTTTATT